GGGGGGGGGGGTCCTCCGCCACGCCCGGGGACGGAGACCCCAGGCAGGCACACTCCCGTGGAACTGTCACCTGTTCACCAGGTGGAAATACTCCCGCAGGAAACCCGGGTCCACGGTGCTCTTGCAAAGCTCCAGCTGCGTCTGGGGATAGTAGTGGACGTAGTTGACGCACATCTCCTCCAGGATACCAAAGCCCCCCTGCGAGATGGGGAGGACGCCCGTCAGGACCGGTGCCTCGTGGGGCGCCACCACCGCCGGCTTCCGGGCCTGTTCACCGCCTTCACTCGCTGGGGCACAGCACGGGTGGTGTTCCGAGTGAGCAAAGTCCCTGCCTGCTGGGGATTCCCTGTCTCCCTTGACGGGACAGACAGACAAGCAAGCCCGCCGGTGGCCACGAGTGACACGGGGGTGTCAGCGCGCCCATTTTATGGATATGGAAACTGAGTCCTGGGGAAGGTAAGGGGCAAGGTCTGAGTGGACACGACCTCCCAACGTTGGCTGAGGAGGGGTCCCCTTGCCAGCGGGAGCCTGGGGACAGAGGACAGCGGGGAAGAACTCCCCTCACACCGTGGAACCCGCACCGTCTACCGGTCGTTTCCAGAACTCGGCTCTGAGGCGGGGGATGGCAGCCTCCCAGGGCCACCCTGCGGCTTTGTCGTGTGGGAGGGGGCAGAGTGGGTTCTTCCAGCCGCCTCGGGCTTCAGGCCCCTGGCCCGGTCCTTGTTTTTGCAGCCCAGACCCCGGAGGAGCAGGAAGTAGGCGGCCGCGGGGAGCGGGACTGGAGGAGAGGCTCCGTGTGGCAGCGGTTCCACAAGAGAACGGCCAGCCCAGACCCCCGTGGGCCGCCCTGGCCACCTGTGCCGTGTCCTGGGCTCCCGGCCCCTTGTGCATGTTGATGCGGGCCTGGCTGGGGGTGCGGCGTGTGGCGGGCGGGGGCGTTTGGGGAAAGAGGGGCACTGCTCCTTGGCAGTAGAGACAAAGTCTGCACAGAGCCCAGCCGAAGGCCCGTCTCAGCCCCGTCCCGGTGAGGACGCTGCTCTCGAGGAGGTCAGCGCGTTCACACAGGAAATTTCCTGTGAGCTGATCTGCCTGGCTCCTGGGCGGCCCCCACCGGACGGTGTTACCTGTGTTGTTTTCCGGTTCCCCAGGGCCCCGGGGGCCCTGAGTTTATCGCCTGGCCTGGCCGCAGACGGGGAGGGTCACCTCTCTCGTTCGGTTCCAGAGCCCCCTCGCACGCCGCGCCCCGGGACGGCCAAAGAGAGTCCTGACCCCGGAAGGCTCTGCTCATGCGAGCCCTCCCTTCACCTTCGCCTCAGGATGGAAATCACATCCCAAAGCCCCTGTCTCTCCGGTGCAGGCCAGACGATGAGTGCCTGCTGGGAGCCCGTCAGCTGCCCTGCTCCTTGGTCCCTCTGGGGTGATGACAGTGACAGTTGAGAGGAGGGAGTGGGGCAGCTGGGGCCTCGGCTAGAAGAACTTGGCGTCTGAGACATCGGGGGTAGCCTGGCCTGAACATCCTGGGACCGGACACCAGTTGACCTCAAGGAGGCGGGTGGGGCAGTGACCATGGCCCTCGCAGAAGTAACACTGGGTGGGGGTGGGGCTGGGGGGTCCCCTTCACTGCCCCGCCCTGGCCTGCGGCCCTGGCAAGCCCACCTGCGGAATGGGGAGATACTGCAGTCCTGCCAGGGGCCTGGCTCATTGTACAGGAGCTCAGAGCTCTGTAGGGAGAGGCGGCCCCTGTGAGCTCGGCGGTTGCACCAGCCCTGCTGCTTGTGGGGCCGAGGGCCCTTGGCTGCTCCCCCAGCACTGTCTCCCCCTGGAACCTCCTCACAGGGTCCTGGGGAGGCTTAGAGGGTCCCTAAGCTCAGACAGGGTGAGCCGTGGGACCCAGCCCGCCGTGTGGAGAAAGCAGTCCCTGTTAGCAACTGTTGCTCTGCGTACTGAGCCCCTCCTCGAGACAGAAGCAGCGGCTGTGGGGTTCAGGCCAGGGCTGTGTGCCTGCCAAGGTCTCCTACTCCCCGAGTTTATGACCATGGACCCGGAGAAGCTGTCACCCCAAATCCAGAGGGAGGAAGGGAGGAATCGTGCCTCAAGCGCATTGCGGGCACACGGCCGGTTATCAGCTGTGTGACCTCCAGCAAGCGTCTTCCCTCTCTGAGCCCCAGCTCTCACCTGTGAGAACACAGAGCCCCCTCCCTTGACGACCGGTGGGAAAAGCAGTGACGTGCTACCCCTGGGTACATCTCGGAAGAACCCCGAGGACGTGACGCTGGGGGCAAGACGCCCGTCAGGAAAGAGTGCGGATGACATGACTGCATTTACCTGAAGGCCCCGGGGTGGGCAAACCCACAGAGGCGGAAGGCAGGACGGGGGCCGCCTGGGGCTGGCGGCTAAGGGGGCAGGGTTCTTTTTGCAAAGAGGACACGTTCTGACCTCGACAGCGCGGGTGGTTGCACGCAGCTGTGCCGAGCCCAAAAAGTCACTGGACGGCACACTTTACATGGGCGAATCGTCTGGCATGTGAAATACGTCTCGATAAAGCCGC